GAAATATGTTGTCATTGGTAATCTTTCATTTAGCATGTAGTGGTCTTCAACAAGAAGTAAGTCAATAGTTCGAACAGTTTCACATTCTTTTGGTATATATCTCTTTATTTCATTATGTCTTGAGTCATTGAAATAACCAATGGTAACATTAAATGCTATACCAGTTGCGTCAGAAATTTCTTGTACTTTACTTTGAGGAAAGTCTCTAACACGAATGACTTCTCTCATGTGGTCAATAGTTTCTTCATTTACTCCAGCCTGAATGCAAGCATAAACGAAACAATTGTCCTCTGTCATAAGTGTTGCAGTTCTTTTGTTCAGTTCATTGAAGATTTGGTAGCGTTCAAGATTTATAGGTAATGTGCAAAGATACTTCCAGAACTGACCGCTTCTCTTCTTATAAAACTTCTTTTCACCATTATCTTTCCAAAAGCTTTCTATAAGTGCTGGGTTTCCTGTTTGCTTAAGAGCTTCCAAAATGGCTTTCTGGTCATTTGTCAGTGTGCTTTCATCTCTATATGGTCTCTTTTTTGGTTTGCCTTTCTTTACATCTGACATCGTTAAGCCTTCATATTCTGTTAAATCATACATCTTTATTTCAGTAAGATTCTTTATGTTTGTCAAGAAGAAGTCATAGTGCATTTCAACAATACCTGCAGCATTTGCTTCTATCTCTGATATAAAGTTCTCCTTCAAGAGCTGATGTAGTAGTGTTCCAATATTATTGAGGTTTAACGTAGAACATTCATACTTTCCACCAAGTTTATAACATACCATCCATCTCTGTTGGGAGTTTATTTTAATCTTCTCTAAGAGTCTCATGAAAACCTTACCGAAATGTTTGTGTAAGTAGTCTCTGTTTGGTTCATCTAAAGCTTCAATGTTAAAGTCAATGAGTCTATTGCCTGTCTTAACATTCCTCTTCCTATTCTCTTCATCTTTCTTTAACCATCTCTCACCTTTTTTTGGTTTGTCGTCAATGGAACGAATGACATCGTTAGCTTTGCGAACTTGTTCTATAGCGCTCTTAAACATCTCTCTTCTCTGTTGTTTCAGTGTGTCGTCTCTTCTTCTTGTTTCACCAACGTTTTGCATTTTTATGTCAAACATTCTCTTCTCTACTTCATGAGGTACTGAACGTCTATGATATAAGTCAATAGCAACGTCATTTAAAGGAAATGCTCTTGCATGGACTTCGTCCTCGCCGCGTTGCGGCTTTATGAACTCATGAATTCTATCATAACTTATTGCACCATTATAGTCATTGAGGATGTCAGCGAGTGCCTTTTTGTTTGTTGCGTAATGCTTTGCAACATCTATATTAGCTTCTGTAAGAAGTTGTTTTATTTCCGAGTGTTCTAACTTAGACAACTTCCGATACATCTTTAGTAGGAAATAAAAAAATATTTTTTTGAAAAAATTAGATTAGATTTTTTTTTAAGTTATTTTTCAAAATAATTGAATATTTTTATTTTAATGAAACACATGCAAGATTGCAAGTTCTTTTCATACAATGCTCTCGCTAATGCCATCAAGAATGAGTTCAATGGTGCTGCAAACGTTAATGTTATCTTTAACAAGAAGTTTGTGAAAGAATCTAAGTTCGGTCAGTATGTCAGACCATTAGCTATCGTCATTGACCGCAAACGTTATACTTCACAAGAGTTAGCAGTAGTTTTGAAACAAAAGGGTTTCTTCGTGAATGTCAAAGATACTCATTATACTGTCATAAAGAACTCTAACATTGACTTCTTCAGTATTGCTATGAATCTTTCCGAACAGAAAGAATATAAGAAGGGTGAAACAAATGTGAAATATTATCCTTCATCTCTGAAGACAATAACGAACAAAGATGTTATACAGAAGCTCCTACCAAAGGTTGAAGAAGCTTCTATTGACATTGACGAAGGAAGTGAAATGGTTGAAGAAATTGACCCTGAAGCTATTTAACCAAAAATATATTTTTGGTGAAGAGGTGAGATTTCACCTGTTTTTTCACCTCATTCTCTCTTCGTTAATGTTGTCGTGACTTCATCATTAATGTTGTCGTGACTTCATCATTAATGTTGTCGTGACTTCTTCGTTAATGTTGTCGTGACTTCTTCGTTAATGTTGTCGTGACTTCATTCTTCCTCTTTGAAGTTATCGAAATATTCTGTTATTTTTTCCTTCAGTAATGGTAAGTCTTCTTTGAAGGTAAGTATTGTGCAACCTTTGATGTCATAGTGTGTTTGAGGAAGAGTATTTTTGACAATTTCCTTTATTTGTTCATTCGGAGTCATTGAAATCGGTAAGTTTTCACGATAGAACCAGTTTCTGTCAGATTTATATATTTTAGCTAAGTCATAAAAGCTTTTGTTGTTTCTTCTGACTAAATGCAACATAACCATATCTTTATCTTCTTCATTCTCCAACTCTTCAGTATAAATCATATACTTATAGTTCTTTTCCTTTCCTTTTGGTACTGAACGCGGTATTCTTTTCTGTATGCTTTTGTCTTTGGATTCAATGACTTCATCTTTTGCTTGAAGTTTCTTTTCCATCTCTCCACGTTCTTGTCTGTGAAGTTCGTCAAGAAGTTTGTAAATATTCCAAGCATAACGTGGTGAAGCCCACATTGCAACTGCATTTACTAAAAGTCTATGAACATAATATCCTCTCAAACCGTTTGGCAATTTTTCACGGTTTTCATAGAGTTTTGGCGACTGGGATTTTTTACCTACTCGCTGTTCTTCACTGTTTTCAGAAAAAAGTACGTCTCGCTGTGCTTCGCTTAATAGTTCTATGGTGCTTTGGTTCCTAAACCAGTCTTTAGGAAGCTTAGTATCTGGAGCAAAACAAGCCGTCAAAATACTTTGCATTTGGTACATGTCGTCTTTGACAGAACGAATGAGTCTCAATTGTTTGTTATACTGTATGTACTCGTATTCTTCATTTATGGCTTCATGAACGATAGCAGTTGTTGTGTTCTCTAATGTTGTCATTACTGTTTCTTATATACAGGATAAAAAAATAAATAAAAAAAATTCTAACGTTATTTTTTCTGAGATAAACACTATTTCTTCACAACATTAAATTTTATCCTGTATGAAATGACTTTAAAAAGATTATTGACTGACTTCGAATACTATCTCATTGACGCACTGACAGACCCTCAAAACTGTGTTGAAAGTTCTTTAAGCTTTAAGATTGAAGGTACGACGCATTTTGTCTTCACTTACGTATTGAAAGAATATGACCGTTATCATAACGAAGTGAATCAAACACTAATAAAATTTGTAGATAAAAAATTGGTTAACAATGAATATTTTAAACGTGAAGACCCAAACACTGCTGGAGATGATGAAGAATACAGGCAAGTTATTGAAAAAAATAACGCAAGATTAGATGCAATAGAAAAGAAGTTTAATGAATGTCTTACAAACACGTATGAATATCTTATGCGGTGGGAAGCTAGATGGAAATAAATTTACGTCAAATATGCAATTTATAAAATCTTATGTCGACAGGCTACGTAGCACAGTGGTCTAAGGTGGTGTTATGGAGGGGTCAGGGTCTGTGGTTCGAACCGCGACAGCGCCGTATTTTCTTATTTTCTTTGTTTGTCTTGTTTGTCGTGAATAAAAAGTGTCATAAAAGTGCTCTATCTTCCACGGGAATAAATAAAAAATTTACTTTATTTCTTCTGTCTTAAGGAAATTCATGAAAATTCGTGAGAAAGCTAAAGCAATCTGAGCCGCTAAGCGGCGAGGGTGAAAAAACAGGTGAAAAAACGGGTGAGATCTCACCTCTTCACCTCAATTATATTTTTGGTGTAAATTTATGACAAAAATAAATGGTACCATTAATGATATCATGACTGTTCTCGTTCATGTCTGATTTACATCTAATGAAAAAGTTTAGAAGAATTTTCTTATTCTTTCTGGCATATTTTTGTCTTTCCAGTACTCCCGCTCTAATGGTCCCAGATGTGTTGGCTTCGACTCTCTCAAGTTCTTAGATGGTATAACATCTTCAACGCCTCCTTCATATCTTACTTTATAAGTGTCATCGTTTGTGTTATAGCCAAGTATTTCAATAACACTCCTCGCTTTGCTTTGTCAATGGTTTCAGCAAGTTTGCCATTACTACTTTCGACTAATTTATGACGAGGGTAAAATGCTATGGAGTCGTCAGCAGCTTTTATAAGATATCCATTACTTGCGTAGAGTCTACTATATAATAATTTCGACTTAACCTTAAACGTTTCTTTGTCAACGGTTTGTCGTCAAGAACTACACGAACTTTTGTACCAGGAATGAGGGTAAATTGTGTTGAATTTCTGATATTTTGTGTTTGGCTTCGTTTCTTTTGTATATACTTTTCTTCTTGTTGTTGTGTCATTGAATTTGGTGTATGTCCTGTTGTAGAATGTGTTGAGGAATTATATATTTCGAGAAAATGTTTCATTGTTTCTTCGGTAAAGTCTCGCTCTTGATTTAAATCTCTGAGAGTCCTTATGAAGCGGTTTATGATGCCGAGTATGTTATGGTTATGGTCTTCAGTAGTGTAGTGAGTTATGTTATGCTTAATGAGAAAATCTGTGATTTCATTGCTGAGGTATGCACTGTCTTGGTCTGATGTTAAAGTACTTGGGCTATGTTCTGCTACAAACTTTTGTAAAACTCTTAACACTTCACGAGTTCCTTATTTTTCATTGGATATGCATATGCTTTACGAGTGTTAACATTTATGAAGATGAGGAATGGTTTATGTCCTCCTTTTCTGCTTTGAATGAGAGTGTCAAATTGGTATGCGTCAGGAGTGTTGGAGTAAATTGGTAAAAAGTAGTCGTAAGGGTTTATTTTGTTTGATGTACAACATTTTTGTCAAAGAACTTTTTCACTTCAGCTCTGTTAGTAAATCCCCAACTCTTTGCTGCTTCATTGAACTTCTTAAATGACCTCCATGGATGTTGTTCGAATACTTCTTTCAAGCTCATTTATGTAAAGTTAAAGATTTTAACCAACTCGTATCCAAGCGTGCATTGTTATATAAGGAGGCATATAATCTTTTCCATTACCTGCTGGGTCTGTAATACCAGCTACAACATGTGTATGATTTCCTGCAGTTCCACAGAAAATACCTGTGCTTGAATCTACTGGGTCAGTTGAAATATCATATCTATGCATTCCCTGTCTATCCGAACCCGCTGCAAGATTTGTATAACCTCTTTTTGTTATTGAATGTGAATGGTTTCCTTCCACAGATGTTCTTCCACTGAACCTATGCATATGTGAAGGAAGGTTTTCAATACCTATTTTCTTTGAACCTCCCATCTTCATTGACTGCGTATTAGTGTAGAATGGAAAACTGTCAACTATTTCATACCATCTACCACCAAATAAAGTGTTTGGATTTATTGGATTCATAGACGTATAAACAGCTCCTATAGGATATATTAAATCATATATGCTCATAACTCTATAAACATATTCTAAAGAACTTATGTCATTAAATACCATTTGGAATGTATCTCCCGGATGAAATGTTGCATTTGTTCCACTTTTATAATGTAATGTTAGTTCAATAGAATTATCCAAGAAAAATTCAAAAGTATCTGGTTGAAGACCTCTAACAAATTCAAATGGAGTTGCTGGTTCACCATTTATAATTTCTGTTGTAAATGTCATTGTATCTGGTTTCGAAAATTTCTTTGTTAGTTCTGCATCCACATAAGTTTTATCTGCTTTCTTATCTAACATTGCTGGTAGTTCGTATGCTTCAAAGTTTCTGGCATGATCTTCGATATTCCTGCAACTCTTATCTAAATTGTTAAGAGTATCTTTTACGCTTGTACTCGGATTCTCTAAAGGTGCATTTGAACCCAAATCATAGTTCAATATTATGTCGTCTGCTCTAACAGTAGTGAAGGATTCGTTTGTATGGTTCTTGTCAGCTTTACTGTCTAATGTAGCTTGAAGTTCATTTATATCGGAGATGTTGTGTTTATGAGATTTCAAAACTTTGTTCATTGCTTCGAGTTCAACTTTGTCAGCTTTACTTTTAATAGCATCTTCAAACGTTATTTTTGCCTTAACTCTCAACCTAAATCTTGGCTCAACTAATACACCGTTAACAAAGAAGTATGAAGCATAAATTTCAGCGTTATAACCAAATGATTGTGGTGCTATACCTGTGTCATACTGTACAGTACAGTGTATGTCATAACCTTTAGCACGAATGAATTTATATCTTCTTTCATTAACATTTTTCGTATTCACTTTTTCACCCTGTGTTAAATATCCGTGGTAGTCCGTTATAATCTGTTCGTCTGAAGTTATATAATGAACGTGGTTCTTGACTTTATCACTCAGAGCTAAAAGCTCATTTTTGTCTGCTTTTTCGGCTAATTTCTCATTAACATCATTCACTTCTAATTCAACTCTTCCGCCAGAACTCTTATTATCATTAATCTTTTTCATTAATTCGGTAATTACGTCATAAAGACTATATTCTGTTTTCGGTTTTGTAAATAATGAGTCAAAATTTTTTTCATCATTACATCGCTGACATTAATGATATCACCAATTCCTTTTTCATTTACTCTTCATTAATTCTGCAATAATGACGAATATATAATCTGTTAATTTATTCTCTTCATCGAGGGTTATAGAATGTTTTGAAATTGAATCATTAACTCCTCTAAATAAATCAATAACTTCAGGATACACGTTTTTAATGTCTCGAATAACCCGACCAGTATCCTGTTGTTCATGTTCTTCGTTCCCGTCGTTATGTGGTTTTATATCTCTAACCATCATCAACGCAGCCATAACCGGAGGGTTTGTTGCTATCTGTTCGAAAATCCGTCCGTTATGTACGGTATATCTAAATAATTTCTTTGTGTTTGTTAAAACATTTGAAACAAGTCTTTTAAAACCATCTACAAAATTTCCTGTTTCACCTAATGTTCTTGCAGCATTTACAAGCTCACCCATGCCCGCTTTTGACCCCAAAAACGTCCATATTGCATTTATTTCACTCTGTATTGTTGTCCATTCAGCGAAACTAACACCCGCATTCGCTAAGCTGAAAATGAAATTCAGTGGATCGAACTTAATTCCACCTTCTTTTTCAATTTCAACGAACTCACTAACATGAGATTTTAAGTATTCTTTCGTTAAAATTGTTTTCCCCGATGTTATGTCATTAACGAAACTATCACCATCAAAAGTTAACGAATTCAATTTCGTCGTTGATGCTTTTATTTCATACACCGCTTTATTGATAGTTTTTGGCTCACCTTCTTTAGAAGCATATGAAACATTAATGAATGAATTATATGTATTCGTGAATGAATTAAAATCAATGATTTTCATTAATGACGCCTTTAATGATTCATTAACTGTTGAATCCCTTAAAACAATTACTGAACTGTCCTTTATGAAAGGTACACTGCAAACCGTCGAGTTTGGATCAAATGCTGTAGTCGGAGAAGGAGTATTAATGATATAAGTCATTAAATCATTAAGTGACGTAAATAATGTTGTCGTTTTTGATTTAATTTCTTTAGCATCTGTTATATACGGTAATTTTATTTCTGTAGTTTCTGAATTAAAGATATTCGCTAAAATGTTTTGTAAACTGTTTTGAACAGCTGTGTAAACCGTTGAATCCGGAACTCTTACGATTTCACCGTCCTTAATAAAAGGCATTGGACATGGTGTAGTGCTTGGGTCAAATCTTTTTGGGTTATGATTCAACATATATTCTAATGCTTCATAAACAGACCTATATACGGTTGTATTATCTTTTTCAATAATTTCACCGTCCTTTATAAACGGCATAGTACATGGAGTTAAAATAGGGTCAAACTTTTCATAGTCCTTCCATGTTATGTATTTCTCAGTATTTCCATCAGAAATAACAATATATTTGTCAGTAAGTGTGAGAGAGTATTGACCAAAATATAAACGTTTAGCTCTGTCAGCTTCATACGCATATGCAGCAATAGTCATATTTTAATAAGAATAAAATGTTGTTCTATTTGCAAAGTACAGACCCGAACGAATACGGAACAGTAAAGCTACAAACAAACTTAGGTCTACAGAATGAGGCGCTTGCATTCAGAATGGTTGACTTCAATACTATTGCTTCATTCGTTATAACTGACGAAACAGATTTCATGGAGCTTGAAATAGATGGAAAGAAGCACGAAATAAGATTTCACAATAATGTAGAATATAAGATGGAAACATTAGCTGGAGTGTTAAATGCTCTCATAAATACTACAATAAACAAGGATAACGAAGAAAACTTAATGAATGTTAAACTTATTGCGGGAGTTTTGAAGTTCAGTTATGCGAAGGAGTTTAAGATAACACGAATGAGTCATAGAGTTCAATTGCTTCTGGGAGCATACCATATGACATTTCCTTTGAAAAGTGTTGACAAAACGATTGAGATGAAATCTGTTCCATACGTATGTTATGGCAACTGTTTGTACATTGAGTCAAAAATAGCTAATGTCACAGGCATTTCAGGAGTTAATAGTAAAGGTTCAGTAGAATATAAATCCTTCTGTTATGCAGTCAATTCAATGTTCATTCCAAACGTTCCTGTCATAACAACTCATTTAGGTAAATGGGTTCGCATTAGTCCTCATAATTTGAAAGACATGCAATTCAGACTTGTTGACTTTCAAGGAGAGCCTGTAGAACTGAAGGCACCAGTGCGAATGACTGTTGAAGTTGACTTTTTAGAAAATATTAAATGCAACGGCTTACAAGAGAACTCAGAGCTAAAAATATAAAGTATGAATGTTATATTTTAGGTCATGAACTTTGGTTGTTGCTGTTTGATGAAACAAATGAGTTAGTTATGTCAGTCAAGAGAACAGAAAAATATTGTGTTAGTGAAAACTGCACCAAGTCAATAAGATTAGGTTTGTATTATGAAGATGAGTTCGATACTGTTGAAGAAGTTTTGGATAGATATTACAAATTGCTTTAATTTACTAAAACATATTTCAAGCAAAGTTTATATTCTGTTGAAAGTTTTGTATACTCGTTCGAATATTTATACTTAAACTCAACTCCTGTAGTTCCTGGTATTTCAATAATGCGGATGTTACCTATTTTCATGAATGGTGGCGTTTGACCACAGCATTCGATTTCAGGGTCGAGATAGTCAATGACACATTGTTTTCCTGTTATTCGTGATATAACATTTTCAAGGTCCTCCTTTGTTAGAATTATTTGGTTCTTGCTTATAAGATTTACCAAAAGCTTCTTATCGTCTTTGAGTAAAATTGTTTGGTATAATTGAAGAAGGTAATGGTCTACGTTATCTGAAGGATTTGTTTGAACATTTGTGTAAGGATTGTCGTTGGCTTCTCTTGAAAGAATTTGGTCTAATGGTGGATACTCTAACTTAACATCTGATGTAGCGTTAGCGTTTGAAGCTGTGTTTAAATTCACGGCGCCATGCGCCATGATGGGCTCTTTGAGCCCTCCCGACTTAAGTTCTGGTTCTAGTTCTTTCAAACACTCTGAACTATAGTTCTTTATGACAATATTGTTTGTCGTTCGTGAGTCAACATTTGATGTTGGTTCAATTGGAACATTAACGGCACCAGCTAAGATGGATTTGCTTCTCATTTCATATAGAATAAAAACCTTTTATATGTATGAAATGAACAATATACTCGACAAGGGTTTGAATGTAAAGCTAACGAATGAAAATATTGTTGAATTCACTGAGACAGGAGCTGTGTATAAAGATGTAGAACTACTGAACAAAAGAGCTAAGGGAAGAAGCAGGAATATGAACAAAGGGTGGAAGCCTATAAAAATTTATGTCAATGATGGCTCAGGAGGTTCAAACATAAAGTATGCAGAAAGTTATAGAGTTTATGCTCTCAAAGGTGAAAAGCCTTCATTTAAGAACAGCTATTCTAACGCATATCCTCAAAAGTTAACGGATGGGGAAGTGGATGATATGAATGACAGCAAAAATATTAACAGAAATGGCGACAGAGATGCATGGAATTTGTTTACCATCAGTCAATTAAAGCATAAGATTTAAAACAATGTTGGTCGTTCCCATGGAATATTTTTGACTTTAATGGTATTAGTCATGATATGAATCTCAAGGTATGAACGAGGAGAGATGAGAGACTTATATGCTTCCCAAATTTCTTCAAAAGGTAATGTTATACCTGACTGTTTCCAAATGAGTTCAATATCATAACGTGAGAAACCTTGAAAGATAACGAAGTCAGTTATGAGACGTTTTATGTTTAAAGCTAAAAACCTCCATGTTTGCATAAGTATTGCTACAGTTAAATGGTAATGTCTGACTTTAGTTATGATGTTAGCTAATGGTGAGTCAGGCTTTGAAACTAAACCTTTTCCGGCGAAGTCGTCACAAACGAGCAGAGTGTTTGAAGGATATTTTTTGAAGGGGTATTTTGAAAGTTTTGATAGAATGTAGTTTGTCAGTCGTTTCATATCGTAAACTCCTGAGTACTGACGTAAGTGGTGTTTGTCAATAATTCTTTCCATCTCTTCTGAAGTCTTTTGCATTCCTGACTGTATGAACTCTACAATAGCATAATATTTTCTCTTACGTCGAATGTAACGTTGAAGAAATTCAATGAGTTCACTGTCTGGAACTTTAACGACAGATGCTTGAACTTTACTCATGAATGTTTTCGCTGTTGAATCCATAGAGTCTGAAGTTGCTGATATAATGATTTGGTCATAGTAAGAGTCGTTTCCTAAACGCTCTGTTATGAGTATATGACGAATGAGGTTAAATGTCTTACCTGAGCCCATCTTTCCACAATAGAAATAAACACCATTTGAACAGAATTCATAATCTTTGCTGAAAGGAAGAATAAGAGAAGAGTTAAGTTTGTCTGTAGTTTCATTCATGTCTTCATCTACGTCATGTATTAAATGCTTCATTTTATCTCCATTAAAAATGCAAGTCAGAAATATTCAGAACATAGCACCGAGTCTAACTGACAAGAGTATAAAGATATACTATGAACATGTTATGATGAAACCAACCAAAATTCAAGAAAGTCAGTATACTTATGAATATCCAAGACATTGGGTAGAGTATGTAGGAGGTGAGAAAGCTATTGAAATCAGACAGGTTCGAAGTATTCCAGCAGGAAGGACAATATTATTGAAGAACTTTAATGTTTTGAGATATAATGATGAAACAAAGAAGCAAGATAGTTTTCCTGTTGCTGTGTATGTGAACCTAGACACAGGAGATGACATGAAAGTTTTTAATACAAAGCTTCAAACGGTAGTGAGAGAACAACTGACTGCGGAAGGACATCCATTACCTTCAGAAGTTACCATAGCATATAATTTTGAAACAAACTCAATAGATTTTAAAGTCGTCTCTGCAAAGAAGTCAGGATTTACATTTAATGAAGCAGATGTATATTCGAATGAAAACTTCAAAGCTATTGCATGGTTAGATAATGACGATTGCTTTAAGAAAATATTTAAATTCAGTGACTCAAAGATGTCAATAGATGACCTTCGTGGAATGTTACCATCGACGTTTACAGTTGAAGGCTCAGCAGGATTGCTTACAAGATTGTCAATTGGTGGTATTTGGTCTCGTGAGAACATTGTTATAAAATCCAGTATAAGTGAATTTGCTGAAGAATCTATATTATGTCTTTCAAACTATATGTATTCGCCACCGAAGCATTATAGTATAACAAACTTTGTCAGTAAGTTTAACATAAGACTTGTCGAACCTTCTTCAATGAAAGATGTTGTGCTACCTAAAGATGGAAAGGATGGACTCATTATTGAGATGATTTTAATTGCATATTAAATGAGCTTGTTCTTAAAGGTCGTTCATGATGAAATAACTGTTGTAGAAGATGTTAGCAATTGTTCAGACATTTTGAAGCGAATAGATGATATAAGAAATAAGTTAGATAGACCGCAAAGCGGTGAGGGTGAAGCCCGTGAGAATGTTTATGTTTCATTGACTTTCTCCAGTAACGAGAACTTTTATGAGATAATATTGAAGAGAGATGATTTTAATATGGGGTAAATGGTAGCTTGGGCAGCTTTAGGCGCAATGGGAACAAAAGCATTAGCATTTGGAGCAAAAGCACTTGGAGCTTATGACGCAGTAAATAAAATGAGTGGAGGAAGGGTTTCAAAGACATTAGATGCAAATAAAGGGAAGATTGGAGGCTGGGTTGCAAAGAAGTTAAGATTAAATAAAATAGGGCTCATAAATAAAGCATCCAATTTGGTTGCGACTGAGTCAGAAAATGCTTTAGGAAAGGACGATGAGTTTGCAAAACACGCAAAAGACTTTAATGACCAGATGAAAGGTGAAACAATGCATTTAAATAGAGTCGATGGAACTAAAGAAAATGTTTCTTCTCCACCAGCGGTTTATCCATACGGACCTTATGGAATGTATGGAAACCCTTATGAACGACCATTTGACCCATTGACTGGTGGAAGTAATTGGTATCATTATGGACGAAGAAGAAAGACAGTCAAGTTGGAGACAGACGTGAAGAAAGCAACTAAAAAGAAACCAAGGAAGAGAGTTATAAAGCAATGAATTCAACAGGGTAGAAATGAGGGTAGAAATGAGGTTAGATCTAACCATCTACCCTAAATTTATTTTTGTGCTATGTTTTCATACGTGTGAGGGTGGTGATATCATTAATTTTTTATTTACTGAAAATTTTTATTTGGATGTAAATGACAGAACAAAAGCAACTCATTCGAATTCCACAGTATAACAAACATACATTTAAACATTTATTCTTCCTTCCTGAGCATAACATGTTCTTTCAAATACATCCGAGACCAGTTGACTTTTCATTGACTGTGTATAAAGATAGAAATAGTTATATCATTAAACCATACGATGACGAAGGTAAGTTATGTAAATTGTACGTTAAGAAGTTAGAGAAAGTTTATGGCTTCAAGTATGACTACAATAGGGTTAACACTGATGATGAAGATATTGAGGAAAATTTATGAGAACATTAGTGAAGTCGTTAGTGAGAACGATAGTGAGAACGTTTATTTTTACATTAGTGAGTTCGTTAGTGAAGTCATTTATGTGTCAGATGGTTTTGTAAATATTTAAGGTTGAGTTGGTGTTATGGTTGTGTGAACGTTAGTGAGAACGTTAGTGAGAACGTTAGTGAGAACGTTAGTGAGAACGTTAGTGAGAACGTTAGTGAGAACGTTAGTGAGAACGTTTATTTTTTCATGCACGTGCATTGTGTCGCGGGGAGTTGCCATGGGCAATGACCTGCGCACAATATATAACGTACAGAGAGGTGAGATGAGGTGGTTTATGTGATAAATATTTAAGGTTAAGTTAGTGTTGTCGTTTGTGTTGTAAAATATATGTTAATGGTTTTGTAAATTGTCAAATTCACATATAATGAGTAAGGTGGAACGCAGTGCCACCATACCGAAGATAACCATACTAACTCAAGACTCAGAAGATTGAAAAAATAGAGAGACCTTTCTGGGGTCTGAATGCAAGCCTAAGTATGTGGCTTTGGTCATGTTTTGCCGAAGAAAATATTGACAAACGTACGAAAATGTGGGAGAATTGTGTCTACCATTACGTAGGCAATCATTCTTTTTGCGAACCGCACAATTACAAATGCTTTGAATGGCAAAAAGGTGTCAATTCGATCCAACTTCAATTCATGCTCTATGACTGGGTTCACAAATGGACACCCATAGTTTCCAAAGTTTCTTCCATTGGATCTACCTGCATGAATGAAGCGTTTAACTCCAAAATTGCATGCTATTTGGACAAATCAAGAGCCTGGAAGAACATTAACATTAGAGTTAACGTTGCAATCTTAGAATGGAATGATCCAGAGCATTTTCTCGGAGATATACAAAAAGCATTACATCTTCCCCCACTTCCCAAAGATTGTGTCAAATCATTTGAAGAGAATTGTTACTCCAAAATGATATTGAAACAAAAACTGTTACAAAAGGTTCTAAAAAACAGAACAAATACAAAAAATCCATTCAGAGTGTACCAGGAGGAGATTATCAAGTTTTCAAGTCCGAATGGGAATCAGAAGACGAAGACATTGATGACTTTGATTAACGAAAATTACATTTTATTTATTGTTTTTGTTTTTAATTAAATTATTATTATGCTCATTTTCTTATTTTGATTTTTTCTCATTATGATATAAATAATTTATTAATGCATTTATCCAATAATTATGCTATGATATTTTTATGCCTTATTTCATTTCTCTTATATTTGATAATCTGGTAAAATATAGTTCAGACTATAATCATTTTAGATTATTGATATATTTATATAGGTTAGAATAAAATTAGTTTCATTTTCTACTTTTATTTTGAATTAATAATTTATAATATCAAATATTATGGCGTAACCTCTCCTTTAAAATATAGATATATATAGGCCTATAGAGTTTATTGGCACTCTCAAAACTCTAGAATTTTGAGTTTACTATACCCTTAATGAGAATTTTGTGAATTATTATGGATATTATGCGAATGATAAAAATATGTTGAAAATCAACTTTGTCATATGATGATAAATATGGTGTATTATCAGTATATTAATAATATTTATTCTAATCTTGAATCATTTGTGAGAAATTTACGACGATGGTTTTGATAATAATGAAACAGTCTCATCACACTTTTCAATGCTCGATTTTTAAAAACTGTTTAAAAATGGAGCTTATATTGAAATAGTGTAGAGACTAAAAATTACCACAGACTATTTCAGAGGATTGAGTTGCCACTCAATCCTCTGAAAAGTCTGAGGTAATTTGCAAAATTATCGATTCTCATTCAAAAATACAATACTACACAAAACTAAATAAGCAAAAAATGATACGGTATACTTGTATTAGTGTTATTATAAAAGACGATTATAAAATTTCTTTATTATCCACTCAGAAATTATTCAAAGCGCGATCTCGAAATTTAAAATTAACAGTTCAATGAGATAATGTGATTTATGGTATAAATTCTCTTCTAAAAATTTGACTATCCCATCATGTAAATTTGAAATGAAAACATCAACAAATAATTTTTATATATAATTTAAACTACGTTAAAACATCTCAACAAAAATACAAATATACTAGAGTCAAAATCTCGAGCACAAAAGTGACATTGAATACTTGTAAGTATTGAATTCCCATGTAAACTATTCATTTCTATCGTTTTTTGTAGTCCAAATTTCCTCACTCTCGATTTTACTCATAAAAATATTAAAAAATCACTATACAATATATAAAATATATATTTATATGGTTAAAACAATGTTATTTTTGCGAGATTTCATCTGAAATTAAAATTAGGGATTTTTTGAATTTTGAACTAAAATTTGGGATTGGCAATTATTGAATAATCGATTGGAATATGAAAGAAATACTTTAAAATTGAATAGAATGTGCCGATAGAATTTTTCTCATAATTTTAAAAAGTTGTTCAAATCCTATTTTTGATTGAGTTTTTGCAATTGTTATATATCAAGTGACAAGCTAAAAATAAAATTTTTGTTGCACTACTATTTTTGCAACAATTTGTAAATTACGTGCATCCCTTGTATTCCAGTGATCAACATCGAGATTACATATTGTAAGAAATCCTTTTGAAGTAGATCTCTATTTGAATTCAAATTCGGACAGTCTATTTCATGTTGCTTCGTGAGAATGTATATAATTTGCAATGTGAATATTAAATAAGTAATTATGCTTTAGGAAACTGCTCGGCATTGCATGAGATCTAATCTTATAATAATTTTTTAGATATGTTGAAATATGTAATATTTAGCTTCAATATCATTTATTATGGTGTATCTTTGCTGTTTTTTTGATATTGGATATCAATGACTCTTCTGTGAACGAAAAAATCATATAAATCATTAAATTCTAAACGTAAGCGAAACTCATTCAATTTATTATTAGAATCAAATCTATTTTAAAATTGAGCTATTCGTTAAATCACAAAAGGATACTTTATATTTTTAGTCAAAATTTGTTGATAGGAGCTTATTGTCGCAATCTCATGTTCTTCCTGGAAGCAGCGCACAGACCAGTCAGAAGCGCTCCTTCCAGGACCAGAAAGACTAGAAGGGGGTCCTGACCTTGAGAAAGGACCCACTTCCAGGTCTTTCTGGGACAATTCGGTTCGCATTGCGAGTGTCTGCTGCTTCTTTTGACCAAAGCAGCAGACACTCGCAATTATATGTTGCGGCAAGTGCATCTGTGGTGTCGGAATGCACTTGCCGTGAACTTCAAGCAATCTCCTGATCTTCCTGGAAGCAGCGCACAGACCAGTCAGAAGCGCTCCTTCCAGGACCAGAAAGACTAGAAGGGGCCCTGACCTTGAGAAAGGACCCCCTTCCAGGTCTTTCTCCAAGGAACATTGTGCCATTGTGGGAGACATGCAGAGGCAATGTCTCACAGAATGATACATTGCGACCAACACGAGTGAATGGGACACTCTATTCTTTCAATTTTCTCATTAATATTGTTATATACGAAAACGATAAAAACAGTTTGACAGAAAAGTGACAACTTTACGTGTCAAAAATATAAAAAGTGATATTTTATTCATCATTATCTTCTTCATAATTTATTTCATATTCTTCGTCTTACCAACAAAAGATGGGAATGTGAACAATTGCGGGCAATTTTTAGCCATTTTGGCTTGGAACTAGAGCCTGCGAGGTACATGGATAGTATCAGTACCTCACAGGCTCTAGTTCTCTATATGGCGCGAGAAATTTTGGTGAAATGTGGTCGCATTTCACCAAAATTTTTTCGGCGCCATAGGATGAATTGGAGGGTGAGGATATTATTTCATACAATACTACTCTCACCCTCCAATTCCCAGCCAAAATGGCTAAAAATTGCCGCAATGTGAACAATTGCGGGCAATTTTTAGCCATTTTGGCTTGGAACTAGAGCCTGCGAGGTACATGGATAGTATCAGTACCTCACAGGCTCTAGTTCTCTATATGGCGCCGAGAAATTTTGGTGAAATGTGGTCGCATTTCACCAAAATTTTTTCGGCGCCATAGGATGAATTGGAGGGTGAGAGATATTATTTCATACAATACTACTCTCACCCTCCAATTCCCAGCTAAAATGGCTAAAAATTGCCCGCAATTGTTCACATTGCGGGCAATTTTTAGCCATTTTGGCTTGGAACTAGAGCCTGCGAGGTACATGGATAGTATCAGTACCTCACAGGCTCTAGTTCTCTATATGGCGCCGAGAAATTTTGGTGAAATGTGGTCGCATTTCACCAAAATTTTTTCGGCGCCATAGGATGAATTGGAGGGTGAGAGATATTATTTCATACAATACTACTCTCACCCTCCAATTCCCAGCTAAAATGGCTAAAAATTGCCCGCAATGTGAACAATTGCGGGCAATTTTTAGCCATTTTGGCTTGGAACTAGAGCCTGCGAGGTACATGGATAGTATCAGTACCTCACAGGCTCTAGTTCTCTATATGGCGCCGAGAAATTTTGGTGAAATGTGGTCGCATTTCACCAAAATTTTTTCGGCGCCATAGGATGAATTGGAGGGTGAGAGATATTATTTCATACAATACTACTCTCACCCTCCAATTCCCAGCTAAAATGGCTAAAAATTGCCCGCAATGTGAACAATTGCGGGCAATTTTTAGCCATTTTGGCTTGGAACTAGAGCCTGCGAGGTACATGGATAGTATCAGTACCTCACAGGCTCTAGTTCTCTATATGGCGCCGAGAAATTTTGGTGAAATGTGGTCGCATTTCACCAAAATTTTTTCGGCGCCATAGGATGAATTGGAGGGTGAGAGATATTATTTCATACAATACTACTCTCACCCTCCAATTCCCAGCCAAAATGGCTAAAAATTGCCCGCAATGTGAACAATTGCGGGCAATTTTTAGCCATTTTGGCTTGGAACTAGAGCCTGCGAGGTACATGGATAGTATCAGTACCTCACAGGCTCTAGTTCTCTATATGGCGCCGAGAAATTTTGGTGAAATGTGGTCGCATTTCACCAAAATTTTTTCGGCGCCATAGGATGAATTGGAGGGTGAGAGATATTATTTCATACAATACTACTCTCACCCTCAATTTTAATTACTTAAACTCATTCTATTTTTTTGACATGTAAATGTCACTTTTACTGAGATCTGACACAATGTCAGATCTCTTTTTTTCGTATATAAGAATATTTTATCTTTTTTTATTAGATCAATAAATAAACTCTTTTAATGTTCACAATTACATAAATCCATATGAATCAATTCGCTATTTATTTAGTCTCTAATTTTAATAGCTTTTTTGAATCTTGCAATCGAGTGCGGGACAAATTTGCCAGGTGTCACTTTTTCAATAACCTTAAATTACGCTTTTCTAATTTTTTAAAAAATAACCTTAAATTATATTTGAAGAAATTATGTCTATGATATATGTTTTATGCTAGAATCTTGGAGTTTTCATGCACTACACAAGAGCTCCAAGGTTCCAAGAGTGAATGCTCAATAGCAATTATAGAGATGTACCTTTTCAAAATGACTTTTACTGATTAAATTTAATCAATAGAAGACATTTTGAAAAGGTACCTCTACAATTAGATATACAAGAGATTCAAAGCTTCATTTCAGATAGATTTGAAACTTTGAAACTCTTGGTAGATTTTGAGTGAATGCTGACAATCATCTTTGAGAAGGTTTTCTTAAAGAAAACCTTCTCAAAGAGGTTTCTCAGGAGCCCTGAGGCTCCCTTTCGTAATGATTGGGAGCCTTGGGGCTCCTGAGACGAAGAATGGCTTCGCCGAATCTTTGATCAGCAGAGGCCAAATGAAAAGGCCTCTGCTGATGGATTCTCAGGAGCCCTGAGGCTCCCTTTCGTAATGATTGGGAGCCTTGGGGCTCCTGAGACGAAGAATGGCTTCGCTGAATCTTTGATCAGCAGAGGCCAAATGAAAAGGCCTCTGCTGATGGATTCTCAGGAGCCCTGAGGCTCCCTTTCGTAATGATTGGGAGCCTTGGGGCTCCTGCAGCAGAGTATCGCTCCGCTCCATTAAATTTTTTAAAAAAAGTGCCGTGTGGCAAATTTGTCCTGTTCCCCATCTTTATTATTTTTTT